GTACTTCCACATGTGTTATTTATCATCAAGACATGTCTTTGAGAAACCGAGGTACAGGTGGTAAAGATGACAAATTATTTGCCTAGACTCAGGCAGTCTAAGGTAGATTTAAAATTAAACTGTGTTAAATTAATAACTTCAGAAATGTGTGAAGATGTCATACTTTGGTCCCTAGAACCATGCAAGGAATCAGCCAGCAGGTGGGCCTTCCACATTTGCAAGTGTTTATCAAAGAATGAAAAAGCACAAGCGAGTAATTCAGACTCTCAGCCTCACAGTAAAGTGCAGTGATAGAAAGGGATAGAGGTAAAAGCTGATCAAGAAATCGTGGAGTTCACAGCTTTCCTTCAATGTGGCGGGTGAAAATGTGACATTGATTTGTTCTGTTTTTCTGGAACCAGGAGGAAGATAGCTACGATTTGAAAACACATGCCCTGCTTTCCTTTCTGGGTACTTTGAATTAGGGAACAAACAAACAAATCACTATTTACTGTTTCTATCACCTAATCCTTTATATCATAGAATTATTTAATGTTGAATTGATAATTCTTGACCGTAATTGTGTGCTCTTGGTTTTCATTTTTAGACTAACTCTTTCACACAACCTTAAAGCTTCTGCTTTTTATCTTTTCTGAATTTTGAGTCTCTAAATGAAATTTTCTTTATTTGCAGGTCAGCTTCAGCTTCCTACACTTTGTGTGACCATCATTTCAATGGTGTAAACCCTGAAGCCAGATACTTCAGCTCTTGAATTGATAACTTTTTAAAAGAGTAACACAGTGGTTGTCTTTTGGTGATTGCTACAATCACATCATAGAAACGGGAGGCTCCTCCTGTATTCCGCGGCTTATTCTGCAGCCATGGTTACAAACAATTAAAAGGAATTGGTCTTTTGAGCCGACGTCAGGTCACTCTGGGACTAAGTGTCAGATGGTTTTGTGGATGGGTTGGGAGCATAGTTGCAGTGAGGCACTACAGTTTGTTGTAATAGTGATGATTAAGGTACTCTTCTCTCTGCACCTAACAGTGCATAGCACATAGATGTGCAGAAAATATTTGGTTGAATAAATTCACGAAAACAATATGAGGGTAGGGGAAACATTCTAATGCACATATTAAATTGTTTCGTTTCTCCTTTTGTGTAAAAAAAAAAAAGCTAAGAAAATGTATTTCAGATTCTCGTTGAAAATATACTGTTGAGGTGGTATCTGTAAAGGGCGTTAACTTGTTGGAGCTGCCTTGAGATTTGAGTGTGTGATTGTATGGTGTTCTAGCCACCTGCAGCCTGAGAGCAGCCCGTGGTGCTGTCAGGTGCAGCTTCACAGACTTGCTCCTGAAGCCTTCTCTGCCTAGGCTAAGTGAGCAGTTGATTGATGTAGTATTTTTGCATTAATAGAAGAACTATAGCTTTTGGTAATGGCCACGCCAATATCATTGACCCCATCTGCTTTCTAGTCCTTATGTTGGGCGTGGAAGAGGAGAGTTATCCCTCCCTGAACTGCTTTAGCAGCCCCTCATTCCACCTCTATGTTTCTCTCTCTCCCTTCCTTGAACTGTCTCTGTAACCCCCATGAACTAATTAATTTATAAGTACAGACCTGGGGTACAGAACAGAAGACTTTACTTTGCAACTGAAACTAGCTTCTGATCAACTTATGATGTTAACATGACTGGTAGGGCCATCTAGGGGAGAATATAATACAAAGATGTAACTTATGGTTTTGTCTTCCTTATCCAGAAGCAAAGGAGGAAAGGCCTGGCTCTGGACCTGATGGGCCTTGAGGGTGCATCTGTCATCTCAAAAGCTATAGTTCTTCTATTAATGCAGAAATACTATCAATCAACTGCTCACTTAGCCTAGGCAGAGAAGGCTTCAGGAGCAAGTCTGTGAAGCTGCACCTGACAGCACCATGGGCTGCTCTCAGGCTGCAGGTGGCTAGAACACCATACAATCACACACTCAAATCTCAAGGCAGCTCCAACAAGTTAACGCCCTTTACAGATACCACCTCAACAGTATATTTTCAACAAGAATCTGAAGTATGAGATAAGGAATGGAGGTTGATGTAGAAAAGAGATATTAAGGTTCGTGTGTATTTGGGGGTCTGTACTTTCTGGCAAGGTAACAGCCTCATGGAGGGGAGGATGTTAACTTGGGTACATTATAAAAGGTCAAGGAATGTGTGGCAGAACCGGGTACAGGTGAAGCAGTGAAGTCTGTGGTTCTGTGCTTTTAAATGCTGACTTTCTGCTTTATTTGTATAGCAGTGGCTCAGTTATTATTGTTAGGGAATAAGGTATTATGTACGAAAATTCTTATTTTATCTATACTTTTTTGTGGAAAACATTTCTACAACGTATTATATACTTTGCTTTTTAAAAAATATGGTTTAACCTCTGTTGACTCAAGGTCATTACTAGCATCCATTCTGACAGTAATCAAGCTGGGCTTTGAGGCAGTTGAAATATGTAGGTTGTCTGTCCCCCTCTGCGTTTTGAATTCTTGACTCTTCTTTCAATAGTCAATCTGTCTCTTCTTTCAGAGGTGGAAAAACTGTACTTTTGCTGCTGTTAGCGTCCCTGCTGCCCTCTTTAATTTGCAGCTTCTGGTCTGTGGAGTAGTAACCCAGATAACTCTGCTTCCTGAATTTGCATGTGAAACAGCTAAAGAGGCTTAGTGAGGGTCTGCAGCCTCTTCTCTGGCAATGAACGAACTCTGTAACCACTGTTTTGGCTGCCCGAAGACCTTTTGTTTAGTTCTTGTTTCTTATCCTTCGTTTAGATAGTGAACTTGCACTCTGTATAAGTATTTATGTTCCTGTAGTCCTTTCTGTAGAAAAAAGAAAATGATATGACCTGTCAGTTCTCGTTTCAGAAAGCATCATCGATGACACTTGACGCTCTGGTTCCACCCTGCCTTATATCACTCTTGGGCAGTGTCTTGAACCATCTCCAGTCTTCTCATTAGCATTTCCAGGTTATCTTTATTCCCAGTCCCAGCCAGTGCCGGGAACCAGGTTGACAGTCGCATTGCCTTGAAAACTGGAAGCAGCATATATAGAATGCAACAATTTCAAATTTAGTGTATAAAATTGGTATACGTAATTGATATTTCTGCATTTTTTACTGTACTGCTTATCTGAATTCATTATAGGACTTAGTTTCTATAATGAATAGAAATAGGACTTAGTTTCTATATCTGTAATAAGAGGCCATCTATAAACCAAAAAGCTAAAGAAATTCCTATAAGCCAAAGGTCTCTCCCCCATGTTCTTACTCCTTTTATTCAGCAAGCATTTCTCAAGTACCTCTCATGTGCCCTGCATTGTGCTAGCTTACTCGGAAGCACGGAGTAAAACTCACTCCTGTGCTGGAGGAACCCACAATATAGTAGAGGAGACAGGCATACCAAAAAGTGTGTGTATGTGTGTGTATTAACAAAGGGATCACGCTTGGAGCCACTCAGCCATAATTCAGCACAGACCTGCTTGAGGTGATCTGTGGCCTGTCAGCTTGACACGCCTAGAACATAAGATTAAAAAATGTGAACTGTTATTGTTGCACCAAGGTTATATGCCTTTCCAAGAACTGTAGTGAACTGAACAGTGATGATGGAAATCTGAAGGAAAATGTTACATTATTCGAAACTTGATATCTTTATGCTATGTTCTAGGAATAACAGTCTGTAATAAAGCCGAAGTGGTTATATACTGACATAGAGCAGTGAAATACCTGGAACTCAGGCAGGTTCATTATTCCTGGCCCATTTGAAACAATGCAAATTCTTAGACATTTTCAGAGTTTCTAGATCAGTGATCACTTTTTTTTTTTTTTTAGAACAAATTACAGTGTAAGCTAAAGATTTTTTTCTTTTCATTTTTCAAGGAAGAGAGTTGCCCTAAATCAAGGTTTAAATGGGACAGATTGCAAGAATTTAATTTTTTTCAGAGGGAATAAATACTATTGCTTGTTCATTTTTACTTTCATACCCAAAAAGAAAGGTTATCTTAATGCTTCACTAATGCCTTGTGATTGTTTTATGTCAGCTTCCTTCTCAGGGAACTGTTGGAGGATTTTACCTAAAGGATTCTAGGTTTGCAGATAAGAATAAATGTTTAAGTGGGAGTGAAAACAGGAAAATCTAACATTCAGACCAGTCTGGACTAAGTGGGAATTAGATTTCCTATACTTGTAACCTTTAAGGCTTACTTGAAGAGTTTAAGGACATGCAAAGCTGTCATCTTTAAAACGCAGCTAATTTTCCAAACTGAAGAATATTGTAAAAGGCACTCTTCCAACCTTTTTTGTGAAATAGAGTAAGTTCATGCTTCCTATCAGTGTCACTTTCATTGAATGTGGTAGAATTGAACTTTGTAGAGGAAACGGGTTGGTCAAATTAGTGATATAACCGCCCAGTCTTCTGTTCTCCATGGTATCCACTCTGAAGATACCTACCTACTTGCTTACAGTCGTAGCTGCTTCTCAAATTTAGGAAAGGATTTGGTTCAGGCTTATCAGACTACTTGAACTCTTGGTAATGCAGCAAGTGTATTTGGCCCCTGACTCTGTCACCCAGAAGACTACTAACCAGTGAGGGTTATTTTCTTTGTCATTTCTTTTTCTCAGAAAGTCAACTTGGGGTTTCGATATGGCAATAATGACTTAACAAATGATCAGTATGGGTTGTCCAGGCACTAATTTTAGCATAGGACATGTGATAATGTCATTCATTTTTTAACGGCTCTGTGGGTTAGATAATAGTGTTCTGAGGCCCAGAAAGGTTAGACATTGAATCACTTTCTCAAATCCCACAGAAGATGATAGAGCAGGCATTTGGGCCCAGGCATTCAGAATCCAGAGCGAGCACAGACTCTCAACCCCTCTGCTACAGAAGAGTTTATATTTAAAATAAGGTGAATTAAGAAGCCATTTCTTAAGTGGAGAATTAGCACGGAAAGGAAAATTAGAAAGGAAATTAGACTGATTAATGTCATTATTTGGTTTTCGTTTTAGTTGAAGACTCCCATTTGAAGATGAAAAAGAAGTATAATATGCTGTGTGGTGGGCTGGTTTTCTGGGGATGCTCAGAGTGTATTCAGGTAACAAACACTTGATGCCATTTCGTATTGGAGGTTTGGACTTCTTGGATCTAAGTACATGATGATAAGTGGAAAGGTTTCTGAATGCTCTTGATTTTACTTAAAATAATTGCCACTACCAATCAGGAGAGACTGCATTTGTTTCTAGGGGTCAGCTAATAATAATATAGCACAATGGTCTAATGTCACTGCCAATTAAAACAAAAAAGGGCAGCATATCAGTCTTAGCTCAGGATGAAGGTGTGTGTTTCTCTCTTTTGTATTAAAGGATTGTGATTCTTGCTTTTATTTGTGCTTTGGTTGAAGTGTAAAAGTCAGGCTTTATAAAGTGGGTGTGTGTAGTTGTGTCAGTTTGAGTGTGTTAGGTTAGCCTTGATTGCTCTAAAGTATGTAAATGGATTTTAGTAAATGATCCAGTGGAGGCTCTATTTTTTTGTGTTACCTTTAAGAGTCCTTAATTATGTATCTTCCTAAACAAATCTGCTATTCCTAGAGAAATGGCATATAACTTTCATAGTTTATTGCTTTGTAGAAGGCATTAGTAATCACTTATAAACATATTCACATTTAAGGGTGAATTTAATGCTTCCTTTTTCCTAGGAGAATTGTTTTTAGTCACATAATCTATTTACCAGTGTCTTCTCTGATATTTTTAAAGTCCCCCAAATAATTGATATGAGCAGAATAGATGTGGGAACGTTGGATTTTATAAACTACCCTAAATTTAGTGGCTTGAGATAATGATTTATTTCTTATAATTATGTAGCTCAGTGGGTTCTTCTGCCCACATGGGGTCACATGTGCGGCTGTATTCAGCTGAGACCTCACCTGGAACTGGAACATCCCTGATGGCTGCACTTCTGTGTCTGGCACCTCAGCTGGTTGGCCAGAACAGCTAGGGCCTAGCCCGGCCCCTCCCTCCATACAGGCCTCTCATGATTCAGTAGTCTCGCCTGAGCTGCTACATCCTAGCGGCTTGGTCCCATGTGGAAGCTGCCAGGTCTCAAAGCCAAAGCCCAGAACTGGCACACAGTCACTTGCACAGTATTCTCTTAGTCAAAGCAAGTTACAAAACCAGTCCAGATTCAGGGGGAGAAAAAATAGATTCCACCTCTGGATGGGAGAGATTGTTGGCATCTGTCTTTGTAGACAGTCAACCAAAAACTTTAAATTCAGGTGTTACCTCTTTTTATACTCTCCATACCTTCAGAGGTTTGCTGAAACCAACAACCAAAGAAGTTTGTAAAAGGGTCCTTGTAATTCCTACTGAGGATCAAGGGCAGGGAGTTTGCGTAAGTATGATCACATATTAGTTATATAATAAATTCCACCTCCTTTGCCACAAATCTCCTTTGTCGATCTCCCCCTGGATGAAATGCTCATGCCGATTGTTTTCCTTGTGGTACCTTAACCCTCATAAGGCACATTACATTCCATTTCTGTGGTAAAAACGTGATTTGACTATTGAACTGGAAACCTACAAAAGGGTTATTACTGAAGCTTTCATTTTAATTGCTGCGAGCAAAGGTTAGAATTTCTCTATGACCTTAGGAGAAGTAGTGTGAAGTCATCGTTTGATCAGAGAGCTTGAAGGGGGACTGCTACTAATGAGACTTGAAACCTCACTGGTCTCTGTAGCTTGTGGGAGCCCCTAGTTAGGTAGTGAGTGTTGGGGCCAGTTCTCACATTCCTCAGCAGCCACATACAGTGAGCTTTATCACATGACTTACGACCTCTGCACCGACGTGTTTTTCTGTATATGTTCCTCCAGACATAAGCCAGATTCTTGAACAGAGAACTTTATACTAGGACCTTACCTTTTTCTGTGCAACCTATATCTCTTCTCTCAAAACAACTTCATAGTCCAAGGTTGTCCCTATAAAACATCTATCAGACGTGTAGGATGGGGTGTGTATGAGTGTGGAGCCTCCGCAGCAAGCTTCGTTCAGCTTCTGGAGCTGAAAATGAAACCAGGGTCAGCAAGTAAATCCCTCGTTAAAGGTCTACCTTCTGGAACGCCAGTGCAGCAGTTGATGCCAGATTTGGTGTGAAGACTACCATTTGCACTGTCTCTTTTATAGTTAACCTTTTTTTGAGTTATTACCTTGAGTTATTTGTTCTTTGAAGTAGGCTCTGTTCCACATAACAGAAACATTAAAATAAATGACCATTATGTAACTGGACAGCGGTACACTGCTGGAGGCATTTACGGAAGGAGATGAGGGCATGAAATAGAGCAGGCACAGTCTCCTGGGAATGCAAGTGAAGTGTTCATGAAGAATTAGGAATATACCCAGTGATACTGCTTTAATTTCCTTAGTATCTGAGGAAGCCAGTTTGCAGAATGTACAGTGTCTGCTGTCTCAAGTAAGAAAAGACAGCATAGCATGGAAACCCTGTTTTGGGGAGCCTCTCCCCTCAAAGCTACAAGATTGAAGTACCCCATCAGTAGAGGATGGAACTATTCCACATCGTGCATCTCATACACTCTTCTGGAATAGGAGTCTTACAGACTGTTAGACTTTTTGTAGAAATTCCACTTTAAACTCTGCATTGTCGATTTCTTAAATATCTTTGTGCTTGCCCTGCGGGCCGAAGGAATAGCAGCTTTACAGATGAAAGAAAACCTCTTTCTGAACTGTCAGCGTCAGTAGTGTTGGTAGAGAAGTAGATTGCCAAAGAAAGGGAGGATGGCTGATTAAGGATGGCCAACACTGAGGTGCCAGTTGATAGACATTTCATACTAAGTACCGAAGGAAATTAACACCAGAGTCTTAAGATATTTGCAAAGCTTCATTTGTAGTAGTTTGTGGTTCAGGTGAATGAGGCATCTCCCCTTACTATGCTACGTACCATAGGGAATGTGAAGGTAGTCATGATCACTAAGGAGCCAAGATTCTGAGGGGAATTAGGAACTATATACAAGAAGATATTGGACAAGGCAAAATGGAGTTAAGTGCTGGAGTAAAGGAGAGCGAGGTTAGCATAGAGTGCGAGAAAGTGGCTTTGGAGATGGCCCTTGAAGGATGGTCAGACTTTAAACAGGAGAAGATGGGAAGAAAGGGTAAGAGCAAGAGGGATTTCAAAGGTGTTCCATTGTGAGAAATGACAAGGGCAAAGGTCAGCCACACATGGGGTGCTAGGGACCAGAGCATGTTCATGGTCTGGGTTGAAACAGAGGAGAGAGAGAGACCTAGCCAAGTAGATTGGCTGAAGCCATTTGGGGTGGGGCTTTAATGCGTGGTAAGGAATTTGTAGAAATCAGAAGCGGTGTGTGATTAGAAAACTGAATTCCGCTGCCTTGTCTAGTCTGGATTGGAGAACCTGGCGGCTCGGGAGGCAGATCTCTCAGTGATCCAGGGAAAAGTGATGAGCACTAAGTTAAGTTGGTGACTGGGATTGAAGGGCAGTGTGGAAAACAGTGCCTCATTGTGGTCTTGTTCTACCTGGATGTGGTGACTGATCACGAACATGAAAACTGGTTCAGTTTCTTCCTTAAACCTGCCCTCACTACTGCGGAGGTGTAAATAGTGAAATCATCGAACAGTTGAACTCTTCCGTTCACTCAGCATAAATTTCTATCCTAGATGAGTGGATGCATTGGTCGCAGCCCCGAATTGATATCAGAATGTGTTCTTCTGAGGCTTGTTCAAAAGGTAATGGGATTTCAAAACTTAAAAGCACACAAGCTAAGCTCAAATTGCAGAATTGGACAGTTTGTTTTGTCTGAATTTTGGGGGCTGCTAGAATTTCCTATTGCAGTGGTAATTTAAAAACAAACAAACAAACAAAAAACCAGTATCCCTAACCTCTATTCTAAATGTTTAGATATGATGTTTATATAGCACGAGGGACGAATTTCTAATCTAAATGAAATGAGCAACATCATTAGAAGTTTATGGGTTAACCAGACTTCAGCCCTGAAGAATGTCTTGTAGGAAGTGAATGGTGTTTGGCTGACCCCTTTTGTGCCAGAATTGTACCAGGACTGTAGGTAGTTGCAGGTAGGGGTGCTGAGGAAGCCATTGCTGACAGAAATTTCCATGTTACTTCTTATCACTGCAGCCTGAGATATGTACTGTTGAACAAATAATCGAAATTGTGTGGTTTAGGTCGTGTTGGAACTAGCAGAAATCTCTGAAATCTGCTCTCCCAGCATTGCTGTTATCCGTAATCATGGGGAACTGTTTTAGTGAGTTTCACACCCAACTCGATATCATCAGTTACATTATGGATGCACTTGAATTGCTTTTGTTTCCGCTAATAGTGTTATGTACTCCCTGGGAGATGATGATGAAGCCAAACAGGTGGCTGGAGGTAATTAGAATTTGAATTTGACTCTGACTTTCTGCTTCATGAAAACGAACATGAAAAGAGTGGTTGCTTAATGACGAAGAATAAACTGCATGTCAGTGGGCTCACCTCAGGGCGTTGCCCTCAGAACGCACCTGCTCTAGTAGACTGTTTTTGGATGTGATTCAGCTGTTCCTAGGGGAGCAGTGTCCAGGTTGGGTGGGAGTGTCTCAGGTCGAATCGTTTCCCCTGCAATTTGTATCGGTTTTTATTTCTTCTGCTAATGGTTTGAGTTAAACGAATTGGAGAGTGAAGCAACACCCTGTTATCTTGTCATCTTTGTCTGAGCCCGATGCCGTGCCGTAAGCACACAGCAGAGCAAGCTTGTGCATGTTTTTAAATGGCCCTGTTGAGTGGAAAGCAACCTCTCAGCATGCAAATGAGGCAGAATCATATGTTCTTGACACTCTTGCAAAAAATCGAGCATTTGAGATATTTTAGCTTGAGAATTGACCAGTGCATGGTTGGCCCCTTATAGGAAGCAGCACTTCTGTCTGTCTGTGGCATCAGTATCCTCGTGATGTGCCAGACCCGTCCAGACCAGCAGTGCTGTTGGAGTACCAGGTTTCATTAGTCTTCTGGTCATGTTTTACTAATAGCCGAATGGTATAGGGATATGTTTTTCCTTAATTTATCCAGATGTCATTCACATTTTACAAATTTTAATTTCGAAAAATAATGAAGCGGAGAGGCACGTCTGGGTGTCGTCTGTAAATCCGCGAGCAGCAGGTGTGACGCGCGTCAGGGGTGGCCGGGTGCTGCATTTGGAGGAGTTATTCTCTGCCGTACTCGCTCGGGCATTTTTAGGAGTCCCTACCTTCCAGTGCGTCATAAGACTTATATTTGGAGAAGATAAGAACTGGAGTGTTACCAAATACTGGTGGTTTTGTATGTTCAAAAGTCTTTTATGGATTTTGAAAGTTGAAAATGAAAATCTAAGAGTTACGCATATCTTAACGTGTTACTTTTGTTGTGCTGTTTTCTCATTGTTTTGGTTTTTAGGGAGTCGTAGCCATCCAAGTGGCTCCTAGATGACTCTGCACCCTGTTAAAAGAGGAGTATTTGCTTTCAAATTTCCATTGTACCTGGTTCTTACCTATCAAGTCCTTCCCCAGACAAGTTAATTTTAAGTTATTAGGTCTTTTCAAGCATATAGACTTAGCAAGGCTCAAAGGGTAAGTAATGTATTTGAAGTTTGCAAAAGCTTCAGGAGTGGAAGGACAGAATTTCTGATTGAATTTTGCTTTATACTTCGGCTTGCAGGAATCGTGGGAGGCGTTTCACTGAAGAAATGGACCAGTGTATAATCATGGAATCTCCTCGCTAACCATCACCACCTGCTCTCCTTGATAAGCGAGAGAGTGGGTCACGGAGAAGGAAAATAGATCAACATGAAGCTAAAGCAGCGGGTCGTGCTGTTAGCAATTCTCCTCGTCATCTTTATCTTCACCAAAGTTTTCCTGATTGACAACTTAGATTCATCAGCTGCCAACCGGGAGGACCAGAGGGCTTTTCACCGAATGATGGCAGGTTTGCGGGTGGAGCTGGTGCCCAAGCTGGACCACACGTTGCAGTCCCCCTGGGAGATCGCGGCCCAGTGGGTGGTTCCCCGGGAAGTGTACCCTGAAGAGACACCAGAGCTTGGGGCAATCATGCATGCCATGGCCACCAAGAAAGTCATTAAAGCTGATGTGGGTTATAAAGGGACACAGCTGAAAGCCTTACTGATACTTGAAGGAGGACAGAAAGTTGTCTTCAAACCTAAACGGTAAGTCTGCTGCTCGGGAGTCGGATGTGCTCGTTGGCTGATTCGTGCGACTTGGGATTTGCATAAGAGCGTTCCTCTCCTTCTCCTGGTGTCCTCCGGTAAAGTGAAGGTCTCTGAAGTCTTTTTTAGCTCTTAATGTTCTGTGAGCCTTTGAGGAGGGGAAATTGGTAGGAACATGGTTTGGTTCTATTCTAAGACTGAACTTTTTATAATTAGAGCTATCCTTGATTTCTGAGTTTATCAGGTTTCTACTGTGCCAGATGTTAGAGATACAAAATGAATTGGTTAGGAAATAGGCAGCTCGTCACCAAGAGTGTGCAGTTAAGACGGGATAACCGCATGACAGGGGTGCTGTCGAGTGGGAGCTGCCCAGAGTCGGAGCGGGTTTTAGCATGAAGCTATGATTCTTTCACTTGGGTTTTGTTTTCGTTTTAATCAACATAAACTTTTTAAAGCAGTTTCGGGTTTATGGAAAGATCAAGATCAAGTACAGAGTTCCTGCGTATTCCCTCTCCCCCTCGCCCTGGTTTCTCTTGTTACTTTTTTTGTGTAGTACGTTTGTTGTAAATGATGAGCCAGTATTAACCGATTAACTAAAGTCTATAGTTTACATTACGGTTCAGTCTTTGTGTTGTACCTTCTGTGGGTTTCGATAAACATGCAGTGACAAGTGTCCACCATTACGGTATCATTCAGAATAGCTTCTCTGCCCTAAACATCCCCTCTGTTCCACCTGTTCATCCTTCCCTCCCTCCCTCCCTTCCCTCTCACCCAGGGCCCCTGGCAGCCACCAATCTCTTTACTGTCTCCATAGTTTTGCCTTTTCCAGAATGCCATATAGTTGGAATCATGCCTTTTGTCGTCTTCTCAGATTGGCTTCTCAGCAATATGCATTTAAGGTTTCTCTGTGTCTTTTGTGGCTTGGTAGCTCATTTCTTTTTAGTGCCGAATAATATTCCATTGTCTGTATATGCCATAGTTTATCCATTCACCTATTGAAGGGCCTCTTGGTTGCTTCCAGGTTTGGGCAGTTATGGGTAAAGCTGCTATAAATACTTGTGTGCAGGCTTTTGTGTAGATACAAGTTTTCACCTCATTTGGCTAAATACCAAGGAGGATAGTTGCTGGATCATATGGTAAGAGCATGTTTAATTTTGTTAAAAAAAAAAAAAAAAAAAATGCCAATCTGTTTTCCAAAGTAGCTGTACCATTTACATTCGCACCAGCAAAGATTTCCTATTGTTCCACGTCCTCACTAGTATTTGCTGTTGTCGCTGTTTCGGATTTCGGCCATTATTATAGGTGTGTAGTGACATCTTGTTCCTCTTACCTGCGTTAAGCAGAGAGCTGGGCCATTTTGGTTGCCTCAGTCCAAAATGTGAACTAGAGAGTGGACTGAATTGTGTGTTGTTAGACTGATCTCTTTGGGCTTCTCTAGGGATCTACAGAGATAATTCGTGTATAATTCTATAGTATAATTAATTTTTTTAAGTTTTCTCTGAGTATATGAATTTAAAATAGGTTAACATGGTGATTCATGTTCTTTTGCCAGGAATGAGTTACCAGTGAATTTTCTTAAAGTTTGTAATTTCTAAAACTTTCTGCATACTAACCATTTTTTTCATTCCTCAATGGAGCTTTTGAAAGAACTATAACAGATACCTTTGGGTTTTTTGCTGGAGTGGGAGAAGAAATATGGGGTAAAGATATACAGAATTCAACTGTGACCAGAGTAGTTGGCTTAGCTCCCTTCATTACCCAGCCGTCAGTAGATAATGGGCAGCCAGAGCCCTAATCATATTAGGATCTTAGAAATCGAAGGGATCTGCGTTTGCCTGCAACTGGGAGTATGATGTGTGGAAGATGTGGAAATTGGGAAAGTTAAAAAATGCAGTAGACATTTGGAGAACAGAAAAGTCTGATTGGCAGGTAATATGGAAAAAGCATGGTTATGTGGGCCTTGCTGTCTAATTTCCATTGAACGCACGCCACTGGCCAAGCGTCGTACTAAGCACCTCGGTGCCTGTTAATGCCTTCACCGTACGTCACAGCTCTGGGCAATTACAGTTCTTATTTCCAGAATAAGAAACAGGCTTAGAGAGAGTAACTAACTTGACAGGGTCACCCTGCAGCACTAATGCAGCTGGCGTTTGGGTCTGACAGTGTGAGGAGCTGGAGGTGTGGCGCACACACATAATTCTCTCAGGTTCGTTCGCCTTCCTCTAAGGGTGATGACATGGGGCACTGTTCATCCAGAATCGCTGGTTTCGTTTTGAATGTGGTCCTTGAGCTCTTGGTTTGTAGCCTGAGAGATCACAGCGTACGCGGAGTGACAGAAAGGAGGTAAAAGGGGAAACAAAAGCTGCGTTTTTGTAGAGATGAGTTGTGGGCATTTCGTGTTTAAGTGAGAGGCTGTCCTCTCCCATCCTGCACTGGAGACCTGAGGATGAGATGGGGCAGCAGGGAGCGCCAGAGGCCAGGCAGTCCTGTTGGCATCAGCACAGTGTTGGTCCAGGTGCTTCGCACGGAGGCCCGGGGTGTTCAGACAAGGCATGAGGCAAGCGGGAAGAGGCCGGACTGGCGACTGGGGGCGGTGGCAGCAGGAAATGCAAAAACTAACGTTAGTTGCTCTTGCCTTATCTCAGTACCATTGCGCCCTTCCCATTACCTTCCTCACTCAGACCAGCCTGAAAACCATTTCCGTTCTTCCCGCAAACACTCATATTATCACGTGCTGCCCGGTTATAGCGTCCAGGGACTTCCTGTTGCTCACCTGACAAAGCGCAGCCTCCACAGCCCGGTCCTTGGTCTGGTCCTCCTCGCCTCACCCAGCTTCTTATTTCTCCCAGGCCAGTCCCCTCCTCCCTCACCACCTCCTGAACAGCTGCGTCCAATCCCAGCTCTGGGGGACCCTGTCCCCCACCCTGCGAGCTGCATGCACCCTTGCAGTGGGTGACGGCACCCTTGGTCACCGCACACACTGCATCGGGCACTGTCGCAGGCTGGGCAGGCAGGCACACATTAAGTGCTTGTGGAAGTGGACCTTACTTTTGAAACGCCCAGCATATTGCGGTTCTGACCCCAGGGGCCTCAGAGGTGATTTAGTCCTAGTGTGAGTGCGAATTAATGTCCTTGCTCGGATTCTGATGTCCTTCACAGACGGGCGGGAGTGATTCGGTGCCGTTACTGTATGAATTTCGCTGCTCTGTCAGCGACTTAAGATGGATCACTCTGCTGAGAGGAGTCCTTACCGCTGAAGCGAGACATGCACTTCTGATAGCCACTGTGGTTTCAGCGTCGCTGGAGCCTGCTTGTCCTGCTCAGAGACGGAAGATGGGATAGATGAATTACTTAGGAATACAGTGACGCTTTTGTTTATGCATTTGCCTTACATTATAAAAGTGATTGTTTTTTTCAGAGTAGGTGCAGCCATTCTAGAAGTAGGTTGATTGTCACAGGCATAAACTGCAGTTCTGGTGAGACATAAACAAGATGGCAGGGGCCTGCGGGTGCGTAGAAGTGAGCGAGTGGCATCAGAAAGTGCTCCAAGAGGCCTTGGAGGTGAGCTAGTCCAGCTACCCACTTGACAGATGAGGAAAACGAGATCCGGGTCCGACTTTCCACACTTCACACAGCCGGAGCACGGGCTTGGGGTTCAGGCCTCCCAGCTCTTCCCTTCCCTCCTCTTCAGCCTACCCCAGAGTTCCTGGATTCCTCTAGGGTCTTACATTTCCCTCCGAGCAGCCTTTCCGTACCTCGGAAAGCTCTCGCTGAAAGGAATGGACTGCACATCACCGCACGCCTTCCTGTGGCTCCACTGGAGTCTGGGAAAACAAAGAGCTCGAGGACCGTCCCCCAGCTTTACGGATGAGCCTACCGCTGTGGTGGAGAAAAAAGTGCTTGAATCGTGCCAGCTTTTGCTGCAGTCCTGTCTCAAAACGAGACTTTTGATTTGGAGGTAGCCGCTCTCATTCTGGGGAGCCTAAATAAGCTTTGACACTAGAAACAGGCAGTGATGTGAGTACGACGTCCGTGCCGAGAAGAAACTGGTGTCCACCCAGGTGGTGGGGCGTGGCTGTCTTCTAGCATAAATGTTTCATCATGTTTCACTTTGCCTTGAAAATGCGTGTTTTGGGATATGGTTTCACTTGGTATCCCAAGGTCATTTTTGGTGAAGTCACTGCCTTTTCTAGTACCGCTTTCCACTCCCCCACGGCCGTTTCAGCTCTGGAGATCCAAATGTCCTTAGTGGGGCAGCTCCTCTCCACTTCAGTCTTAGCTTATTTCTCTTTTACAGTTTCCTGTAAAGTGTAAACATCTCCTTTTGATTCAGGAAACACAGGTAAACAGTAGAAGTCTTAGGCGAATTAAGTGTCTTTTTCTTCTCAATTAACAGGTTTAAATTGTCTCTTTTTATGATCAGTAGAAAGAAATGCTGGTTTTCATCATCCTTTGTCATGCATATGATGTAAAATCATCAAATGGAGTTTGCGATGAAACAGCTCTTAGAAACTGCCCGCCAGTCCTCCCCTAAGGTGTCGTAGCCGAGGAATCTAAGACCCAGAGAAGAGAAGGGTTTTGCTTAAGGTTATCCAGGCAGGTGATGACAGAACTACCTTTAATTGTCACTTCAGTATTTCTTCCACTACATCATCATAAACTTAAAGAGCAAAAGAGAATGGTTATTCAAGCAGCTTTTCTTTCAAGGGCACTTTTGCCTACTCAGTAACAAACACTTGGGCGTATCCAGACCATTTTTTCCCAAGATTTTAAACTTCTCTATCAGCCTTTGCCATGGCCATCTGGTAAGCAGACATTTTAATTATGTTTTCTTTCATTTCTTCAGTCTAATAAACATTTTTGTAAACATTTATTAAGCACCAACTATAGGCTTAACACCGTTCTAGAGATAGAAAGATGGTACTCACCTTCCAGAAAATCACCTTGTAGTTTTACTTAAACTACAATGAAAGTCTTTTAGAAAGGTAAAAATAACATCTTCCGTGTTTTACTCATGGAACGATGACTGAGGTAGAGGGAGTTTTCTGGTTTCCTTCTCCACTTCATCTACCCGTGATTCGTGCTCATTCGCCATTCTCTCAGGGGTGACAGAGAAGGTGGTAGAGAGCAGGTCAGGCTTGCTCAGGTTTCTGTTGTGTTGCCTCTCGTGGGGTCACCTGTGGTACCGACGTGCTTCATGTCTGCATCCGAGCTTCCCTTTCACTCTGCAGGTATAACCGAGACTACGTGGTGGAAGGGGAGCCATACGCTGGCTACGACAGACACAATGCAGAGGTCGCAGCTTTTCACTTGGACAGGTATGTGTGATCACGTGGGGTTCGCTCGTTTTGTTTCCTTTTAAAAAACATCTTGGGGAGTCCTTCTGAGGGTGCCACACTAATAACTTATTACCTGCTATGGATAGCTGATTGACCGCGTCTGTTAAATTTGTATGAATCCCTCATAATTTGGGTGGTACTAGGAATACCAAAGTAAATTTCTTAACTCTGGGTTTTTTTTTGGTTATTTCATTCCAGTACACCCTTTGTTATTATCGTGAGTAAAGATGTTATTGGTAAATGACAGGATGAAAACTAGAGTTTGAACTCAAATCTCTAAATCGAACGAGTCATCCATTGGGCCTGGCAGTATCGTTTTGTTATTTTGTTTTTGTTTTAAGTAATACTGACGTATCCCCATATAATAGGAACATATAGCGTGACATATATGTTGAATTTTATTGTCCTTCAGAAGAAATATGCACAGCTTCAATAATCAGAATAATTCCAAAAGAAAAATAGACGTGAATTCTATATGTATAAGTTAACTGGGAAAATTAACGTTTTTCAGCAGGCCGCTGGTCGGGAGCCTCGCAGCCGAGCCGTGGGGCATCCCAGGTGCTCTTCTGAGCAGCTCTTTCATCAGGGCACATTGACAGACTTTTAAAGAAATAGTTACAGTATTTTTAAAATGAATCTATAAGGAAACTAGAAGAAAATGAAGTTGAATATTTGTCTTTTTCTGGATTAGGAAGGATTTTCTAAGCATAAAAGCAATAGTTTCAAAAATCACAAAAAGCTCAATAGACTCAACTAAAAAAAAAATTAACTTGTCAAAAAACATCAAACAAAATTTAAATGCAAAAAAACTAGGAGAAAATACTTGAATCTAATATAACCTAAGCATCAACAGCCTTAACATAAATGTTCGTATAAATCTATCTATATGCTAAAAATCTAGTAGGAAATGGTCTAAAGACATAATTAGTGGAATAGAAAATTTTAATTGCTAATGTGGCAGGGGGATTCATCCTGACCAGTAATCTATTTTAAATCCAGTTGAAACAAGGGGATACTATTTTGTCCTGCTAAAAATGGCCAAGATTTTTTTTTTTAAATAATACCTTTTTTTGGCAGGGACACATTGAGGTTCAAATGCTGCTTCTGGCATTGTTAATTAGCTCAGTCTTTTAAGAACTATGGCCTTACGTGTCAAAAACCTTAATGTTCATACTCTTTGAAAGAGTAACTACTTACTATTTTATGCAAATATTCAAGATATTTCCAGGAAAATATTTTGAGAAAGTACCCCAGAGGAATCAGAAATTCAAAGACACGTATACCACAGTCTTAACTGTTGCATGTTCCATAGTGAAAAGCTGGTAGCAATCTAAGCATCTCATGTGATGGGAAGGGCTGAATAAATGTTCATAGTCCCATGAATTTTCACTGTCTCTTTTAAGACCTAGTGAGAAAGAGTTGGGTAAATCTTACTTCTCACTTGATGGTGCACTAGAATCAGTCTTTCTGAGACCTCGTTTGTTTCCCTATTTTCTTCATCCCCAAACTCCTGCCTGTTTCTCTGTTGACAGCCACCAGCAGTGCATGAAGGTCCTGTTCCCATATCCATGCCAATGTTTCCTATTATTCAACAAACCAATTTTTGTTAATCTAATATCTGTAAAGTAGTATCTCATTTTATTTTATATTTCCGCAAATATTGGCAAAATTTAGTATCCCCTTTTCTCAGCACAATACCTGTTTGTTAACTTAGAGCAAAGTGGTCTTCGTACAGAAATCATTGCTTTTGATGTTAATTAAATATAATGTTTTATTTCATGTCTTGTGCTTTGGGGGCCTTGTATTTAAAAGTCCTTCCCTACTTCAAAATCTGAAGGGTATTCTCTGGCCAGGCCCCCGCCCGTTTTGTTAACTGCCACACCAGCCAGGCTGAAGTGCCTCTGTGACAGGGCCCCTGAGCACTAGGCCGGCAGCGGTCAGTGGGGAGAATACCACCTTCCCAGCTGTCTTCCTCACCCACAGCTCCTGACATTTCTCCACTCTGGGTAGCTGCTTCTCCATTACTTTAGGGTTTGACCCCCTTCTCTGGCTTCCGGAGGTTCTCTTGATTTTTATGTCATTTTGACAAACCTATTGATCTCTTTGCTTTTGTGGCTTTTCAAAGATTGAGTTTAGGACAGAGTCAGTCAGCAGCCCTGAACAGTAGATTATTTATGACGCACCCATTTTTAAAGACCGTCTCATGACATGCTAAAAGGCTCATGATGTAATAATCAATGAGAAACAGGATATAAAACTACACAGGAGTGAATATCTCTTTCTGTATATCCATAAAGGAAAGATACTAATATGCCAAAATGTCAGTAGTTATTTCTGGGCTGTGGAATTATGGGTGATTTTTATTTTCTTTATTATAAATTTTCTGTATATTCCAAATTCTGCCTGTCCAACTTCAGTGACTGTGTATTTTTTTTTGACAGGAAGTGTAATTTCTTAAAAAAATGATTGTGTTCAACCGTAGCATTGTACTTTTAGACCATTAGAGTGAAATGTCTTCAAATGTATCTATATTTATTTTGTCCTATAGGTTTATCTTTTTAGATTAATCTGTATAGTTTTCTGTCAATGTATTGTTTTATCCAAAGCTGTGAACCCAAGAATGGGTTTAGGCTCAAATTTTTTTAATGCTTTGTTAAAATTTATTTAAAATTTTTATTTTGAAAACTTTCTAGAAACAAAAGAATAGTATAATGAACCTATGTACCCACTCGATGGAATAAGCAATTATTCACTTATGCCAGATTTGCTTTATACTTTTGGCTGGAGTGTGTATTAACACAAATTGCATACATCTTGATATTAAACTCACATATGTACCTCGAAAAGTTAATTTACCTAGTTGTCAACAGTTCCTTTACATATCTAACCTGATTAACCATAATTTTTAAGACTGTTATCTAAAATATATCTCCAAAGGTTTTTCTTTTCTGTTTTTCAACCTTCCAAACCAGGATTCTGGGTTTCCGCCGAGCCCCCTTGGTGGTTGGCAGATTTGTTAATCTGCGGACAGAGATCAAGCCCGTTGCCACAGAGCAGCTCTTGAGCACCTTCTTAACCGTAGGTAAGGTTCTAGGTAGGGAAATAGCAGCTGAGTTAAATGGCACATCATCGAACTTTTAGGAATTGAAGGACTCAAGGGAATACAGAAGCGAATCAGGCAACTCGTCCTCAGGTTGCTGGGGAGATGGCCCTAAAGGTAGACGGCAGGAAGCTGAGTCTCCCTAACGTGTGTTTTGTTGGTCTGTGAAGTAGAAGTTGAGACCGCTTATTTTAGTGTAAGTAGCCGATAACTTTATTTCCTTTTGCTTGATCTTAAGCTAAATCTCAAACTCTAATTTTGTCCTAAATCTGTGATTGTCTGTATATCATTGGCTTGGTGGTTTTTTTCTTAAACGTGTACTTTCTTGGGAACCGTCTCCTATCTCCTTAAAGTTGAGAAAACCTTAGGGCAACTCTGTAAGAGGGTCAGAAATTCTCTTGTGGGGTGGCATTAGGGCCCAGAAGATCACCACTGCCCCCTCCTCTGCAGGGGTTAGCCTATAACTCGTGTGCATGGACTGGCTTCAGTCCCTCTGGCCTCTGCCTTCTGTTATCTCACTCTGCGGTAAAGGATCTGAGCTAAAACTCTCACTCCTGTTCCTGTGGGCACAGCAAGAGTGGGAATTAGGAGGTTCTGTGGTCTCTTGTCCCTGCCTGTTCATGGTGACATTTTTAATGACACAGTGCTCCACATTATAATATGACTCGAAACAGACATTGCAAGATGAACTTCACCTTGGTTTGCTGGAGTGAATTGATTTACATTTAAACGAGGTGAAACTGAATATTTAAAAGACGTGACAGATTCGTCATTCAGAGTTTAAACTTATAGGCTAGAGCTATGCTGCTCTTACAAATAATCAAAAGCATACAGTGTCACCGATTTGTTTCATTTACTTTCTGATCACATTTGCTTGTTCAATTTTATGCTCAGGCAAATGCGAGCACCTAATGGATGAGAGGAGGTCAAGAAGAATAGGCCAGAGTCCCTGCTCTCTAGAGAGTCACAGAGGTTAGCTCTTGAGCATTGTGATTGGAAGGGAGAAGCCAGAAAGAGGTTTGTGGAGGAGGTTAGTAACATTTGGACTGAGTATTGGAGAATCAGTAGGAGCTACCCAGGCAGCAACGAGGACGGAGTATTGGGCAAAATAATAGGAGCGAGGGCATAAAGACTTGAAAGTACACAGGATTGGTACATTTGGGGAATGAGCTTCTAGATACACCCACAGCGTAGGGTAGTATCTTAGTTCGGGCTGCTATAACGAGATGTTATACATCCTGTGGCTGTAAAAACAGAGGTTCGTTTCTCACAGTTCCAGAGGCCGACAGTCCAAGGTCAGGGTGCTAGCTTGTTTGGGTTCTGGTGAGAGCCTCTTCCTGGTTTAGTCAGCCACCTTCATGCAGTATCGTCACATGGCAGAGAAAGAGGGAGAGGGAGGGAGAGGGGAAGAGAGATCATCTCTCTCATGTCTCTCCTTATGAGGACACTAATCCCTTCATGAAGGCTTCTCTTGAAAGCCCCACCTCCAGATACCACTGCACTGGGGAGGAGGACTTCAGCGTATGAGCGTGGGAGCACACACATTCAGTCTGTAGCGAGCTGAGAGAGGTGTTTGACTGGAGGTGGTTTTAGATAATGGGCTGACCTTAGCACAGTTTTAAAAAACATGTTACTAGATAACTCAGTGTAATAATAACGAAATTCTGGGTAGCCTTGCTACTTGACAAAGCACTTCCACACAGTTACCTTGTTTGATCCTCTTGACAAAAGTGCGCAGTGAGTAGGGGGGATTTATCCACATTTCATACCTGAGAAAGAGGCTTAAAAGAGATTAAATGACTTTCTCAAAGTCACAAAGCTACTAATTGTTAAGATTCAAACCCAGATTTTAAGACTTCTAAAATATTTAATTTGATTATATTCTTTTTTATTCATTTATTCATTCAACAAAATTTTGTTTCACTTCTGTGTGGCAGGCTCTGAGCGAGGTGCTGAATATACAGAAATGAATGAAACCTTCCTGCCTTCAGGGAGCTTTGTCTAGTGAGGGAGCCGGTGCCCAGAGGGCCTCTGGGAATGTGGAGGGGAAGGGGAGGAGCCTAGAAGGTAAGGCCAGGGGGATGATTGGTGAAGGTGATATCGCCACCGACTCTTAAAGAGAGAGTAGCAGTCCGCAGGAAGATATAGTGGGAAAGTACATCCTAGGTTTGGACTCTTAATCTTTTTTTGCACTAGAGACTCCTTTGGCAGTCTAGAGAAGCTTATGGATCCTTTCTCAAAATAATGTTTTTAAATACATAAATTAGAACACATAGATTTATAAATGAAGCCAATATTGAAGTATTTTGTATCAAAAGTTACAAAAAGCAAATTTGTGATAGAGTCACATGTGCTTTGTTATTTAACACATTAATAGCAAGAACTAGCAGTGATCTAGTAACTACCATAATTTGAGACTATGAATATAAATGATGCTTTGTGATATCTGCAACAGTGCTACTATGATATAAAAAATCTGTGATTTCTCATGGTGAAAAGGTCAGATAATGCTAATGGTTTGCTCCCTACCATAGTAATCGAAGGAAATGCTAGGTTTCAGATAGAAGTTAATAAAAATAAAAATGTGCAGTTTACGGGCTGTCACCTCTGTCCCAGGTGGAGGACAGAGCACAGATGAGGGTGATGAGAAATGCGTGGGAGGCTCAGGAGACTGTAGTTTAGCTGAAGCAAAAGCTGTGTGTGGATCTGGGCTGAGGAAGGCCGGTGGTCGGGACAGCGTCACTGAAGAGCCTTTGACATCGTGCTTACGAGTCGAGACTTTCTCCGTAGGCACTGGGAGGCCACCAGAAGAATTCGAACATGGGAAAATCAGACTTGAATTTTAGAAAAGTAATCGTGGCAGCATCGTAGAGGATGGATTGGGGAGGGAAGAATTGGGAGACGAGCACTTGGGGCTGTTGTAGTAAATTCTTATGCAGTGAGAGTCAGAAGTAAAGCAAGGACGGGATAGAAAGAGTTAAGAGATACTCGAATGGAAAGAATTTGGTGAACGTATTAAATAGAACATTCCAGATCCTCTGGGCGCTCTGACCAGAACCTCAGTCCTGATGAAGCAGAGGAGGCCGTTATTTACCTTGACTTAAAATGAGTTCAGAGATATGCTCGTGACAGCAGCGGGCTCCCGGGAGGGAGATCGGGTAGAAGGGACACAGAGGGAAAGGGAGGCTGGCCTTTTCACATTTATTCTTTAGTACCTTTGGAATTTTTTTTTATTTTTTATTTTTATTGCACCATGTACTTTTATTCCCTATACAGAAAATAAACAGATGTTTTAAATGTAAGTTCAAGATCTCATGACAACTAAGATTTATATTTCCTCTGTTTATTAGCTTCTTTGTTCTACATTGGGAAGAATTTGGAATCTTTTTTTCTTTAAGCATATTTGGCTCTTTACTCTCCTTTAGGAAATAATACTTGTTTCTACGGAAAGTGTTATTACTGCCGAGAAACGGAGCCAGCTTGTGCCGATGGGGACACCATGGAGGGATCTGTCACACTTTGGCTTCCAGATGTGTGGCCTCTGCAGAAACACCGACACCCATGGGGCAGGACTTACCGAGAGGGCAAGCTGGCCAGGTAAAGGCTCCTGTGAGCCGCTACTTAATTCTCTCTTGCGCCTGGCCAGGTGCCTGCCTTGTGTGCAGCCAGGGGCTCTGCCCAGGACTGAAAGGAATGGGGGAGGGTCGGGGCGCATCTGCTGGGCAGGGACCTCATCTCCCTGTGTTCAAACAATGTCAGGTAACATTGGCTCTCAGTAAATACCTGGCGATGCTGCTTGCCTCCAGGTGGGAGTATGATGAGAGCTACTGCGATGCTGTGAAGAAAACGTCCCCTTACGACTCTGGCCCGCGCCTCCTGGACATCATTGACACAGCTGTCTTTGATTACCTGATTGGCAATGCCGACCGCCATCACTATGAGAGTTTCCAAGACGATGAAGGCGCTAGTATGCTCATCCTTCTCGACAATGCCAAAAGGTAGGGCCAGCAGACGACCCTTGCCAGGTAGAGATTCTGTGTAGATAAGGACATTTTCTAGGGTATCCTGGAACAACCCAGAAGACACTTGACAGGCGGCATCCTTCTGGTTTCTGCTCAGGGTCTTCGTTGTTGGCACCTGTTCCTCTGTCTTCCTTGGGGTCCTGACTTTAAAAGATGGAAAAGTGGCTTTTTTCCAGGAGTCAAAGACTTTATGATTCTCCTCACAGACAACTTGAAGCCAAGGTCTTTGGTTTATCACTACTCCCATTCTTTCTTGACTGATGTTCAGACTCTTGACAAATATACATTTAATAGAACATGAAATTGGATTACTGTTAAATTATTCCATTCAAAAGTTCATGCACATTAAAAATTGATTTGATTGGTAGGATGTTTTGCTATTTTTATGGCAGTCTGGGCCCAGATGTTTTGTCGTCACGAGAGGAGAGGGGTTGAGTGGTGATTATGTGGAGACGATCTTGAAGAGGATAATGTTATTAATTTTGAGTACATGGACTGTCATTGTTTTCGCTCTGAGCTGTTCGAAGACTACATTTTCTTTTTGGTGTGCACTCTCCATGGTGCCCAGTTCAGCACCGCGCTTTCAGTTACACATAGTAAGGACGAAGTAGACTATTTCCCAGGAGCCCAGAATTGTCCTGGCTCCAGGTCACTGCTGTTAATGATGGCTGCTGAGAATGAGCTCGGAAAGGGGTCCTCAGCAGAGCCCGCCAGGGCGGCACCAGGGTAATGACAGCGACCACTGCCCCTCTCTCTCCCCCCTCCCAGCCAGTGCTCTGTACATCCCTGAAAATCTTTATCCTTCCTCGTAAAAATGATCTTTTTTAAAAAAATGATCGTGCGTATTGCGCTCATTGGAGTAGTTGCCTTTGCCCCTTCGCCACTCACTGTTTGAGGCCCATGCTGTGCCGAGGGCTGCCCGACCCTCCAGCCCTTAAGGCGCGTGTCCGCTGGGAGGATAGGGGGGCAGTGGCTGTCCCCGAGTCAGTCCTCCTTTCTCTCTCTGGACTACTGCTGAGAGCATTTGTACCTCTGCTCTGCAACACTGTTTTCTCAGCCTCTGTGAGTGCTGTTTCCAGTTTGAACCTGTCCAAGTCTTTTCTGATCGTTATTTTGGAGTAGAACAAGTATAACTTCTTTTTACAAGTAATAACCATCTCCTTGTTGGCCTTTATTTCTCTGCCCGCCCTGAAAACCTTTTCAGGTTTAAAGAAGTTCAAGTTCTCCCTTTAGTCTGTGGACGCCACACTTTGTTGCCATGGTTATGCCCTAGCACCTAGCAGTATCTTGGCAGGAGGAAGGTTCCTTGTAAATGAGTGTATGTGCTGTTCGACACGGCAGGACAGGCTGTTAGGGATCCTGTGTTGGTCACATCCTGTTTATTTTGAATTTTAGAGGTTTGAGCTGCAGGAGCATGAAATTATCTAGGACCATGTTAAGGTTTCTTAGAGAATTTCTCTCTAGAGAATTTGCTCTCGCTTTGATGCTAAGAAGGGAACTGGCGCTTCCATCTGATTCGTTACGTTCTCGTTTTTGTTTTCAGCTTCGGAAACCCCTCGCTGGACGAGAGAAGCATTCTCGCCCCTCTCTACCAGTGCTGCATGTAAGTTACGCACATCAGACTCGTGTGTCTGCATTGTCTTCCCTTCCGGGCTCAGGTAACAGTGCATCCGTCTTCTTGGCCTTAAAACTTCCTAATACCTGAGCAATGCTTTTTACGCTTGTCCAACCCAGCACCCCTCAAGATCCTGAGATGGGGGAGCAGGGAAAGGTGGAGCAGGTAACCCAGTACTCAGAATTCATTTCGAGTTTTGTATGAATAGAAATTTTCAGTGTGTTCAGTAATGTATATCCATGTTTGTTTTAATATCAGCATATAATCCTCTTCACCCCCAAAGAAACCTAGTACAATCTGTGTCATTGTGCTGTGTTTACCTTAGGATGTTAAGTCCTATCACTCACCACCCCATCCTGCAATTTGCATATGTCAATTTGAAATTTTATAAACCAAAAGTAACATTTCTCGTAGGTATTTAGTAAGTGATTTTTTTTTTTTTTAAAGCCTGTGTTAGAGAACAAAGAAATTAAAATGTAAATCAAGAAAATGAGATAAAGACTGGGCTCTAAGGAGCTCCTTTTCAGATCATGATTGCTGGTAAAATTGTAGAGTGTGAACCCTGAGGATCAGCTGGGATCCACACACACATGCAAATCCCAGAGTGCCACTTCCTTCTGGTCCGCCCCCGGAGGCCCCGGGACCACATAAGACCATGTAAGACCACCCTCCTGGCACTTGGTCTGCTCTGCTGTGCTTTGTCTTTTTAGTAGCACTAATATTCTGCAGAAAGTGTTTACCCAGGCACCCCTTAATTATCTTCATTAATATTGGAAGCAGTGATATATCCAGTCAAAAACTGTATCTTTGAAGGAAGATGTTTTTGTATTAATAGTGTTAGTAGTCTAGTCCAGTCAAGAGATAGAAATGGTATAATGGGTTATGTAGGAAAGTTTAGTATAAAGAATTGTTAACTCTGATACAAGAGGGACCATAAAAAACAACTAGGACTGAGGAGCAACCAAGGAAGGACAAACCGGGAAGGGGACCGCTCCCCAAGGCTGGGGTTTGGACCTCGTGGAGAAGGTATAGTTCACCCCCTGGACGGCAGAGAAGTCCGCTAGCTGGCTCTGGGCGAGCAGGAAGCAGCCTTTCAGAGTGCAGGCCTGGCGCACGTAGTCAGCAGCTGGCCCACACAGAGGAAGGGGCCACTCGGTAGAACCCCTCTGGGGCTGCACGTTTAGGGCTCTGGTTGCCATGTCAGGAGGGCCTCAGGAAGGCTTTTTAGGCCAGCCTGAGGTGGCCAGGTCACCAAGGGCCTGCCCTGGGAATGGGCATCCATTTGATGGCCTCCCATGCTCTGCTGACCCACAGTGCGGTAGCCAGAGCGACGGGAGAACCTTCTTTCCGGAGCAACCCTCGAGGACCCTCTCCTGAGAAAGCTTCAGAAGACACGTGCTTAGGAAACCTGTCCTCTACAGCAGGTCTCTGTGAGGCATGAATTTGGAGCTGAGAGGCAGTCAGCTGCTATCTTAGTCACACACAGGAAGCTCCAGTACTGTGGGCATCTGTCGTGTATTCTAGAATAGCAGAACCACACTGCCTCTGTGCTCGTTGGCCCCTTCCAGGCTTTAGCCAAAGATCAATCTGCTTTACTTTTGAAATAGTTGCGGAACAGGCTGCCTCTCTGAGCCCAGCTTTCCCGCATACCTGGGAATTCCCACAGTACCCACAGGGAGATGAACAAAAGATCCTCTTTACTTGGTGAAGTAATTAAGATAGCAGTTCTTAAAATAAACTTTTTGTATTCATAATATTAATGGTAGGATTTTTTAAATTTAGAAACATAAAAAGGGGGAAATTAAAATGACTCATTAGGAGGTCAGGATAATTTCTGTGAGCACTGCAGTGACTTTGTTCTAATCACGTGTATGTGCGGATATGTGTACACACACACATTTTCTTTTCCCCACAGATTTGGAGCAAAACAGTCCTTTTACTCCACCTTTCCCCTCGCCCAACGTATCATGGACATCTTCCCATGCGTACATTTTCTTAACTGTTTTTAATGTCTGCGTGCTATGTTCTTTGATGGATGAGCCGTACTTAACCATTTACCACTTGTTAGGCATTCAGATTGGTTCACATGTTCCTGTTATCAATAGCACTGCAGCGAACACATGTAAATCTTTATATGCCTCTGATTAATTACCTGGAAAAAATACCAAATGTGGTAACGTGACTTATTCATCATGATTTTTTTAGTTGAGATATTTTACATTATTATTTCTTTACTTTTGTCTGCCAAGCAGGCTTTAAACCGCACTCTACAGGGAGAGGTTTTATGTAATCTGCCCTAAAATATTTTCTTCCAGCATTCGTGTTTCCACGTGGAACAGACTGAACTACCTGAAGAATGGCGTGCTGAAGTCTGCCTTACAATCTGCCATGGCCCATGACCCTATCTCCCCCGTGCTCCCTGACGCACACCTGGGTGCTGTGGACCAGCGGCTGCTGAGTGTCCTGGCCACCGTGAAGCAGTGCACGGACCAGTTCGGGACGGACACTGTGCTGGTGGAGGACAGGATGCCTCTCTCCCACCTGTGATTCTCAACACAAAATGAGTGAAACTTCTTTTTACAAAGATAGAGAAACAGCACAATCAATTCCAAACGCTGTGAGAGGATTGGAAATGGCCAGCAGCAGGTTCTGGTGATCGGGGACAGGGTGGCCTCGGATTTCTTTGGTGTTTTTTTTCATAGCAGAAACTAAAAGACTACAAGTTTCAGGCCACGGAACTGTTGCTGCCGAAGCCCCTGACTTCCTCGGCACTTTCCCGTTCCAGCAGTGGGCGTCGCAGTCGGTTAATTGTCATGCTCAAGGACAGACGCGGTGTGACATCTGGCTTGGTTCTGGAGTGTGTATTTTGAGTTCATCCTTATAGTCCTTTTGCCACACCTGTGGATTTTCTGGAAACACTTTGCAGTCTCGAGTCCTTTTTTACCAGGACTAGTCAAATCGGGGATTTTACTGCCAACTGAGGAGTGGCAGCAAGTAAAACCTGGCATCCTGCTCGGCCAAAAGGTCCTGCTCTGTCGGAGGTTATGTGTTTTTTTAGAAGCAGAAGGAAGGACAAAAGCAGGAGAGGTGTTGGGGCTTTTAAGCAATTAGGTGGTAGTGCTTTCGATCATTCTTAACAGGGGAAAGAGGAGAGGCCTACTTGGTAGAACCAGAATCGGGGAGATGACTGAATTAATGAAAAACGGGTCCCCTGTATTCAAGATCTTAAGGCGTGTAAAAGTAATGTGACTTATACTTAAGTAAAATCTGCATTCTCACAGTTGTGTCCAAATCAACCAAAAAATTGTGTCCATGGAACTACTGTTGCCACCCAAGGCACGATTGTCATATGGAGACTTTTTTTTTCCTTCTGCCCAAAGGAGGCAGATCCTTTCCAGATTAACAAAGCAAACTGAAATAATACCTTGAGTCAGAGTTAGGTTGCCTGTGATCTCTGCCATCCTGATTTCTCTTCTGGAATGAATTTCCGCCTCTGCCTTTAAGGCATTTGAGGCTGCTGCTCCCAAGAAATTGGCTATCCTGATGGTGCCTTTCTTGTGAGAAAAGCCAGCTCACTCCTGCCGATGATAGTGCACGTCCTGCTGGCGGCTGGACCTGTCTTACGATTCGGGCCATGCGGTAGACTGGAAACAAAGATTTTAAGCCTTATGAGCCTTAAAACTAAGGAGGTTGTACCAGGAAGAGCCTTAAGATTTTTATTTATATCAAACTCTAATTTTATCATCTAATCTTGTTTGGAGTTCTGAATCCATTATGTATATTGTTCTTCCGTCTCATGTTAGCCGTCTGAAATTTCAGGCTGCTAAAACCAGTTTAGTTCTGGGTTCAGGCAAAGAGACTTTGGCATGGAAGCAGTTGCAGGAAAATATAGGACCAGAGGACGGCAGGCCAGGTGGGCCCGCCCACAGTGTCCTCAGCTGCGCGCGTGTCCCGCATTACGTCTGGGGTCTGTGTCAGTGTCGTCCTTCTGTCGAGCAGAGACTAACGTTTAAACAGTGTGGTCGCACAAATTTAATGCCAGCCATTGGAGACCGGTTTTAAGCAACCATCCTTTCAAAAACAGTATAGAATTTATGCCCTAGTGTCTTTGCAATGAAAGATTACTGAGTAACCTGTAACTACTTTAAAAAGCATGAAATTAGGGTCCTTTTGTACTTTGTATACACATTTCGTGTTGTATGCAAAAATGGGCAGAGTTATTAAAACAAAGTATTGAATTTAAGGAGACAGATATTAGCACCGAACACTGAGATCGTGATGACAGAAGGTGTCGATTCCAGTTCTAAGGCCATTTACTGTGTGCGTCCAGATTCACAGTTGAGCGTGAGGACACCTTGGACAGTGCTTACCCCAGAGCGTCAGGGACTCGGCTAGAGGGACACAGTGGACGTCAGCGCCGCCCTCCTAGTAAATGTTAGTTGAACTAAATCACGTTCTCACGTTCTTTCAAACACGTGACACCTTTGCTGCGCCCCAGTGGACCGCATGCGAACTGTTCTCAAACTGGGAACTTTATTCATAATGTTAAAAGAGGACGATTTTGCTAAGGAAAAGAACAGGAGGGAAAGCCGCTTTGAAACGTCTCCTCCTTTTTTAAAACTTTGCTGAAATTGTAATTTTC